AGTAATATCGTGATTTATTGTCGTAATATTTGTTCTCAGACCTTAGTCTGTAATGCCAGTATTGCCGGTTATATGCTGGCGTTAGAATAAATAATTCTTGAGTCACCAAACATTGTTTTGGTGTTCGCGTCTGTCAATACTATGCGTATCTGAATATCTCCGAGGGACAGAGTGAGGCCCAGAGTAGCAAGAGCTGGGCATTATAGGTTTATGAGACTTGACTGACAAAATTTATCCTGTTTTGGTTTAGGTATGAGCTTCCTCGTAGAAATCCTGGAAGTATAACTCAACAGAGGGCAAGGACCCGGATGCGGTTCCAGTTCTTTTCACAGCGGGTTTACCGCCCCTGTTTATTTTTTCCGGCGAATGTAGCTATGGCACCGTCTATGAACACTTTTAAGCGAAGCCTGGACAATCATTCGGCGACACAAGGACCACGTCTAAATTGCCTATCCCCTAAAATCTCATACACAATTCGGGGGTAGACAACTAAGTTTGTCGTTTTTCTTCCTTATATTCTCCACCGTCTTACTCTCCTGACAACTTTAACCACACTTATTATTATTACCAATATATTTATACATCAACTTCAAATTTAATCAGCAGTATGTTGTAATGTTCTATTTCTTTTTCTATCTTTTAGTCTGAATAACTTCACTATTTATATATATTATTATCTCTTTTCTCTTGACAACGATACCGGAGGACTAACTGGCGAGAGGTATTTTCGCGCCTGCTGCCGTCCTTGGATGTGGTAGCCATTCCTCAGGCTCTCTCTCCGGAATCGAACCCTGATTTCCCGCTACCCGTTATTTTGGTAGGCAGATTAGCTACCAACAGATTGATAGGGCAGACGTTTGAAAGGTACGTCGCTTACATAAGGCCAACTGCGGTCATTAAAGTTATCCAGTCATCACAGAATTTAACAGAGGCAGCCGAAACTGCCCCCGGTTGGTTCTGTTCTAGTAAATGCACCCGTCCCCTTGCGGGTCAGGGCATAATTGCATGTATCAGCTCTAGAATTACTACAGTTACCCATGTAGTATATATGATCCAAGGAACCATAGCTGATTTAATAGGCCATTCGTGGTTTCAGCATTTTATGGTATTTACTTAGACATGCATCGCCTAATCTCTGAGACAAGCATATGACTACTGGCAGGACCAACCAGTTTATTCACACAATGATACACCCATTGATTTTCAGGAGAACCCATCCCTGCCTCTTGCGAGACGAGACTGGCATGCAGGATCATCCTGTGGCGCAACCACTCGAGAGCCCTCTCCTTCAGTCTACCATTCGCACCGTTTTTGTACATAGTAATACATGGGTAAGCATTGTTACGCCGATCATTGATCGCGTCAATCAATTATACACTGCATAGACAAGCTCAATAGAACTCATCTCGCATACAAGACTAGCCAAACGTATTATTATATGCAAAAGTAGCACACATAGCGACGCTATAGTGACAATAGGCCCCTATAAACGAAGCCAGCTGCCAATTTAATGAAATCGTTATCTCTGCCAACCAATTTAGCATGCAAATAGCTTCTATACGTCCATCAAGACTACAGAAAACCATACACAGTCAAAGCATCAACTTCATTCACAGCAGAGACATTCTTAACACATCTCATCCTACAAACCACATAATTTATCCCAGCACTGCTCTTAGAGTCAACCAAAGCTACGACAGTCGAGTGGAAGGACGAACTACTCAGAAGTTTATCGAAGACCAGGAGCCTATGCCCACAATCAAGAGGCGAGCACAAAGAAATCAAATTGGTTTATACTAGCCAATCGATGTAACATACGATTCCGGAGCGACAGAAGGACATTTCACGGAAACCTCGCCAGTAAGCTTCTCGTGAACCTTAAAAGCCCATACAGGTTATGTCCGAAAGAAAACCGACCAACCAGGGAGCATGCAATCTAGTGGGTTCTGATGGGAAATCTCTTGCTAGTCTTGAAATGGCAGAGACATTCAGCCTAGCCTTCCACAGGCAACTAAACAGTAACGAGGATATTACCCCCACACAACATCAAGATTACATCGCAAAACCAACGCGCGAAAACCTGCTGGGTACATTTCAAATTACCCCGGCTATGATACTTGTAAAATTGGGAAAGTTTGCTTCGGGAAAGTCTCCAGGTTGTGATGACATCAGACCATCTGTCCTGAAGCAGTGTTCAGAAAGTCTCTGCCAACCCCTAAGTGATCTGTTCCAACACTCCCTTGATGTAGGGAAACTTCCATGTGAATGGAAACGAGCAACCCTATCCCATATCTTCAAGGGTGGTGACCGGCAGAATGCGACCAGTTACAGACCAGTTGCTCTACTCCCAGTGATTTCGAAAATATTGGAAAGTCTCAATGACGACCACATGAGAAAATACTTCGATGGGACTAACCTTCTTCACGAAGCACAGCACGGTTTCAGGAGGGGAAGATCCTGCGTGACGAATCTTCTACTAGCTTGGAACGATTGGACACTATCCTGGGACGAAAAGGTACCAGCCCACGTGATCTTTCTCGACTTTGCGAAAGCATTCGACACAGTTCACCACGGTCTGCTCCTTCACAAAATAAGCAAGGCGGGTGTTTCTGGAGCACTTCTCGCATGGCTGAAAGATTACTTAGGCAAGAGAGAATTCTGCACCAAAGTCAACCGCATCCGATCATCCTGGCACACCTCGGCATCAGGGGTTCCTCAGGGTTCTATCCTAGGCCGTTGATGTTTTTGATTTTTATCAACGACCTGCCCTCCCAAATGAACTGCTCTGCGCTTCTTCACGCTGACGACGTAAAGATTTGGAGAGCAATGAACTCATCGGAAGACCCAGATAGATTGCAGGCTGACCTGAAAACTCTGGGAAACTGGGCTCTGGCTAACGAAATGCCTTTCAACCTAAAGAAGTGCAAAGTAGTGCAACTTCATTCCGGCAGGTCACAGAGTGTAAATCACACCCTTGGTGGCCAGAACTTGAGTTGTGTTCCATCAGAAAGCGATCTAGGTCTTATTCAAACAGAAAAGCTAGACACCAGTGGAAATTACGCGAGGGACGTCGCCAAAGCCTACGCAACTTTACACTTTATGCATAGGCAGCTGGGAGCTCTCACTTCCGAACTGTTCTTATGGTTATATAAGACATATGTGAGGCCACACCTTGAGGTGCATAATATCATTGCACCTCCGCTACTCAAAAGGGATGCTAACATTCTAGAAAGTGTCCAGAGACGAGCGACAAAATGGGTGATCGGCCTCCGCAATAAATCATATGAGGAACGACTAAAGAAATTAGGTCTTTTCACACTTAGTTACTGTAGGCACAAGGGAGACCTCATCACCGTCTACCAGATCTTAAATGACCAGGCCCAGACAATACTTCTGTATTTCCTGATGTGTTGCACTCACTGACAATCTAGCAGATTTTTCCAACTATGCACAGAAACGATTGTACATAAGTGAAAAGGATGTTTTATTCTATTGGGATTAACATTTATCAAGTGTATGTATAATCTCCAGTGTACATGTTAAACATATTTTGCTATCGACTGTAAATTGTGACTAAATAATATGGTCCTATTTCTGTAACAGTTTGATGATGCCTGTAAACTGGCGTCCCTCATGTACTGTATCATGAGAATAAATTTATTTACTTATTTATTTATTTATTTAACATAACTGATCGTATCTGTAAAAATAGCTTTCTTATTGCCCAATTTGGATATAAATCAAAAATGAGATTCGGACTTGTACACACCTGAGTTATATTGTGGAATTACTTCAAGCTTTATTTTTTCCCAAGTATTTTTAATCCATCCAAAACTTACTTGGGTTTTTTTGTTAATGCGAAGTCAATATTCCTATATTTCATGATGTGCTCCATTGAATGGCTAGTTATATTGGGGAATAACTTCAAGCTTTATTTTTTCCCAAGTAATTTTAATCCATCCAAAACATACTTGGGTTTTTTGTTAATGCGAAGACAGTATTCCTATATTTCATGATGTGCTCCATTGAATGACTAGTTATCATATTGTTCCCACAAACCAAAGACAAAAACGTCACAAGCCATGCAATTTAACCATGAACCGAATTTATGAAATTTAAATAATGCTTATCCATGCCTGTACATTTGGTGTGACCTACACAGGTAGGAAAAAATGTGTATTTTATCAAAACATTATTATTATGTATGCTTGCTAATCGTATATGTAATTTATCATATTGATGATGCCTTTAAACTGGCGTCCCTCATGTACAAAATGAGAATATACTATTATTATTAAAAGCATCCTGCCATTAAGTGATTATAGGCTTCCACGAGGTAACCCGCTAAGGATAGCACACCAGAGACCAAAGACTCGAGTGCGATCACATTTCTTTTCGCTTCGTGTTTGCCGTCTCTGGAACGCTTTACCGGCGGCCGTGACTACAACGCTATCTCTGGAGATTTTTAAGCGGAAGCTAGACAATCATGCAGACATGAAAGGTTTGTGTCTCAATGGCTTATCCTCATAAAACTTAAAACCACACTGTCAATGGATAAGCGTACAAACTAAATCCCCACGACCTGTTCTGCCTTCTCGCACTGTACCGACTACTCTATCTTTTCCTTAGGTCACCTTTATTATTTCACTTATCTCAACCCATATTATCTACACTACAACCTATTATTATTACTATTCTGCTTTTATGACTACACCGAATGACCAATGGGAGTTAGGTCAAACTCCATTCACGGCAGCAATACAGTCCTAACATACTGCATACTACAAACCACATCTCGACCAATCCCCGCACCACTCCTCTTGGAGTGTACCAGAGCTAAAGCAGTCGAGTGGCGGGACTTACTACGCAGAAGCTCACCGAGGATCTAGAACCTCTACCTCACAGTCAGGAAGCGAGCTCAAAGAAATCACTGGTTTATACTAGCTCGTAATCAGGATATTGGATATTAGCCCGTAAAAACGATATGGCATATTGGATATTGGAACTACGCTCACTTTTCAAAAGTGAGTTGTTCGTCAAGGGCGTGCTTAGCCTGACCAAACATGAGTCAGCCTCCAACTCAAGACAAACTAACACGTATCGCCATTGTTAGTAGTGATAAATGTAAACCGAAAAAGTGCCGTCAAGAATGCAAAAAGTCGTGTCCTGTAGTACGCATGGGTAATTGATTACGTAACATAATGTAATTTCTGAAGGTAAACTATGTATCGAAGTGACACCTAACGACAAAATAGCATTTCTCTCTGAAGAGTTGTGCATTGGGTGCGGTATTTGTTCTAAAAAATGTCCTTTCGAGGCTATTTCCATCATAAATTTACCCAGTAATTTGGAGAAAGAAGTTACCCACCGTTATGGGCCGAATTCATTCAAATTGCATCGCTTGCCAATGCCTCGACCTGGTGAGGTTTTGGGTTTGGTTGGGACTAATGGTATTGGAAAGTCCAGTGCTCTTAAAATTCTTGCTGGCAAACTTAAACCCAACCTTGGGCGTTTCAAGGTGCGTTACTTTTCTCTTGATTTTTTAATAGTCTATTTGTTTTTTAATTATGAGATCGCAGGCTTACTTTAGCTGGATAACCGGCCATTATACTAAGGCATAAAAAACGTCTACAAGACAATCGTTTAAAATTAGTCACACTGAGTAATTCCTTAATATGTTATACAAGAATAACTCAAGTGGTCATAAAGTATCTCTTCAGAGATCTGTTATGTGCATGAGTTCAACAGGGTAGTTATGCTCTTCTGGTTTCATAGTTAAGGTTCATTGAATTCACTTGCAATATGTATTGGGGACCATTGAGGCCGTGTCACTGTGATCTTGACATAAAATCAATCGCTCTCTAGGCTTGGTTTTTTATTCTTGTTCATGTGTTCCGGTGGTGCTAAGGAATTTTCAAGGGTTTGACCCATAACCTGTCTCGTCGCAGATTTTTCATCGAACTGTAATTATAAACTGTTTGTTTTGTGGAGGCAGTCTTTTTCTTCGTACATCTTATAATTGTGAATTTATTGACACGACTTTTAGTCATCCCGACAATTAGACTTTGACTCAGTGGTTTGTACTGCCACACACTTTAGGTTTCTTTAAGTGAATTGAATTTATTGGTGAAGTGAGTGCTTATTCCCTATTTTTCTGCGTGTTTAGAAACATACTGGTGAACCACCAAAAAATTGTCCTGTCACGTTTATGAATTTCTACTTGCTCCCCAAAATCCTTCAGTTATATTACCATTTCCGCTTTCAAATTATATGTTTACACATTTTATTGCCATTTCATTATGAAACCGAATTCGAAATAGCGCTAATCTTTTGTTTGGTTTTTAATACAACGAGCTTTCAGTTCTGAAGTTGGTCACATTGACATCAGAAGCTTAGTAGTATCTTAAGGAAAGAATCACTAATTTGCGTCATTCTAGAACAAGGTATAACTAAAGGCTATCTAATGATCATAAATGTACCAAAGTTTAAATTAGTAAATCGAAGTGTTTATGTCAAAACACATTAATTACTTTCCACTTTTACCTATTTCTACCACGAATATTCCCAGAAATTTTACTTATTTTGCTCAGGCGAAAAGATCCTATTAAGCGAAGATACTAGCAAAATAGGACTTCTGAGCAGTTTATATGCTAGGAGCAAACCTTTAGGAGGCTAAGTGGTTCGCATCACCGAAGGGTGATTACTACCCAGATGGTAGCATATTAAGAAAATTAATATCTTCTCTTAGACGATTTTTAATAGTCTCCAGTTTGGGTTAGCACTTCCCTATTTTGTTTCTGAAGTTAAAAAGTGTATTCGTTTGTTGATCGCCTACCACGTAAAAGTATGAACTGGGTGGTAAGACAGACAGTCCTATCGTCAATACTAAATATAAGAGTTGAGCACTACGTAGGGAATGCTAAAAATTTAATCCCTCGAAGTTTGTTTGAACACAGTTACTTAGAACTGATTATTCATGTACCAGGCTGGGGATCACCTGACAAATGGCATTGTCATATGGCTGTTGAATGAGGTTGATAAAGACTTGGGCACTGCACGTTTTAGTGTTGAAACTGTTTCCAAATTACTTCTCGGTCAACGATTGCCATTCTTTGCTTTGTTCGATGACGATGTATAGAGTTTCAGTTTGATTAGTACATGATTTGCCTTTCCAAGATCCAGCTTGTTCCAGTGAATCTTTTAGTTTCTCCCGGATAACGTGACTTAATATTTTCACTTGGCGTGAATAAGAGCATTATTCCACTCCAGGTTTTACAGAGGAGTAAGTCACCCTTCTTTGGTAGCTTGATAAGGTAGCCTTTCTTCTAATCGGTAGGCACATTCCCTTCCTTCCAAATCTTTTCCAATAATGGCGTGAGTACATCTGCAGGAGTTTCTGGGTCCGTTATCAGTGCTTTGTGTGTGTGTGTGTGTGTGGGAATTCCGCATGGCCCTACTTCCATCCTGACTGGACTTCAGTAACATGATTGCATTCCAGATTTCTGTTTCTCTTAGAAGACTGTTGTTACTGGCAGTTCTGTTCGTGCTGTTGGTTGTATTTCTGGGCTAGTTACAGGTAATGGTCCATTCAAAAGTCCTTTGAATTGATCAGCCCATCGTTTGGGTTGCCTTCATCATCATTTATTGACTTGGTCCATTTTGATCTCTTCTCGGATATAGACCTGGTTATTTTATATAATGTACACGGGTCTTTCTTATTTGTGGCCTATTCTCCTTGAGTTAGCAGTGTGTCGTAGAATTGTCGTTTGTCTTTTCTGCCACTCTCCTTAACTTCTTTATTCAGTGCACTGTACATTAAACTCAGCTTCTCCTTTTGTTGTCCATCTTTGCATTCAGCCATCTTCTCTTTCACCATCCTCCTCTCTTCCATCGGCTTCCAGGAATCCATCTGACAGCCATTCCTTGTCGTGTCTCTTTCTTCCTAGAACAGTTGTACACATTTCCTTGAATATTGCCTTCAGATAGTTCTAGTTTTCTTCTACGCAGGTTTCCTAGGTGATAACACACAGTGTCTCGGACTTTGCTCTCATCTGATTTGTAGTGAAGGTATCTCTTGCAGTTTTGTCCTTCAGTTTCTGAATGTTGAACTCTATCTGTAGTGATCTGTTTCCGCCTGTTCTGAAGGATTTCAGATCCACTTTGAAGGTTTCCTGAACTAAATGATGGTCTAAGTCCACATCTGTTATCCTTCTCGACTTTATGTGCAGCAGGCTGGCTGCGTCTCCACTTCCATGAGATTGAGATGAAATCTATCTGGTTTGTGGTATGTCCACCAGGTGAAATCCGTCCCGCTGTAAGTATATCTTTATGCTTGTACACGTTACCTCCAATCGTCAAATCATTAAAGGCGCAGAAGTCCACGAAGAATTCTCCGTTTTAATTCGCTTCTCAGAGTGAAAGCCTGTCGACCCATGATGACTTTTCTTCCTGTATTATCTGCACCCAGTTTGGCATTCATATCACCCGTGAGGATTTTTATGTCACCATTTGTAGTGGTGTCCATTTCTGTTTGTAGCTGTCTGTAATAGTCTCCCTTCTTCTCTTAGAGACAAGATTGCATAGGATTAGAAAACAGTTACAACGTATGCAAAATTAATATTTGATAACTGGAGAAATAATTTTAAAGGCGAACAAAAGGTGACAATTATTTTCAACTTGAAATGAATTAAAAAAGGCTTAGAGACAAAAATTATGCAGGTATAAAACGAGTTACAGGTGTGAACAAATATTCTCTCTGTCAAGCTGAGCTAGAGAAAATCTGTCGTTTATTACCCTCTTCAGACTTATATCGTATCGATAAAGGCATATCCAGTATCTAGACATGCGCTGTAGTAGGAGTAAGTATCCGTTTGAACCCCTTCAGTGGGTAACTGATGAGAAGTGTTCTGTCTGAGAACGCTGTTTAGTTTGGTATTCTTCTCTCTCTGAATAATATTCATTTCCGTGCATTATACTAGAATCGGCTAGGAATACGTAGTTTTCTGAGCACAGGTTTAGGAAGGAAGCATCATCACCGGTTCTCTGGGACTTCGTGATGCTAACCAAATGCGCTTGTGTCTAGATTAGTTCCTCTACTTCTGCCTCAAAATATATCTTATAATTTGACCTCACTTGAGTGATCGTCATTTCTGGTAGACCAAAAAGTTCTTATCGGAACTAATTGTTTCTACAAATCGAGTTAAATTTAATAAGTTCATATGCAGTCACAGTCCTTTTTAATTTTAAAAATCCTTTGCATTGGCCAATGCACACACCAATACGTGTCAAATTAAGTCGCCCACTTTTTAGCCTAGGATTCCATGTCATACTTATGCGTCCGAGACTGTGAAAGAAAATTGCTTTTTAGAACCTTGGATACTCAGAGCTTGAAATCTCCTATCTCATTCGCCTGATCATGTAAAGTCAAGTGAATGACCCCATCAGTATGTTATATAAATTTGTTTGACAAGCACAGCACACATATGATTCAAGATGTCAGCTTTTGCTAGTGTGGTTTCTATACGATGTTATACAGACAACAAGAACTCCACTACATTGTTTACAATGTGACTTTCAGCAGTCAGGTATACAATTCAGTAACCTGGGAACGTTAGTATTGGTTTCACAGTGGGGGCATTGAGGCAGACGCAAATTCGTTTGCATGAAAAGGTTAAGAAGGATCAAAAGGTAAAGATGAATGTAGCTGGTGTTCAGAAGAAGCTTGAATTTCAATATGGATATATAGGCGGTTAGCCTCCCCCAACTTCTCTAACTGTGAACGTCATTGTTTCTTAGTCGTGCCTGCAGGCGACGTCTGTTTTAGTTTGATCACATGTAGCGAGTTTAAAAGGTATTACAATTCGCAACTTATTCCTGGTTAAAAACCACCTCAGGGTAAGTTGGTGGTGGATAACGTTGAGAGATTATCTTGTCTAGCCTCTGCATACTGGAGTTGTAGACAGAAATACTTTAATGCCGTCGCACATCTATTGAATCAACAGTACAACCTCACCCCTTGCTAACCACTTTGGAGTGAGATGTTTATATCATGACGGTAACTACCTTCAGTTTTGTCGCTGGCACAACAGAACCTTTGGAGACTATCCCATAGTTCTCATTTCAATGTCTTGCTGAGATCTACAAGAGATCTTACCACTAATTCAAGGTAGCAGCCATCGATTTTATACTTTAGAATGCCGTGATAATTCATCTAAGAAATGCATAGAATATAGTCAGCAAATTTCAAATGTATTCTTTCGTTTAGTAGTTATTTCACTACTTCTAGCGTGTTTGTATTTTTTTCTTTTCTTGTTTGTCTCTTTTGTCTCCTATTTTGCTCTAGAATCCTCCAGACTGGACTGAAATTCTCACCTATTTCCGCGGCTCAGAATTACAAAATTACTTCACAAAAATCTTGGAGGATAACTTGAAAGCTGTAATCAAACCACAATATGTTGATCAAATCCCTAAAATTGTATCCGGTCAAGTGAAAACCCTACTGGATCGTAAAGATGATCGTGGTAATCAAGATCATATTCTAGATGTACTTGGTAAGAATGTTTATTATTGGATAACTAATATAGTGTCTTCTGGCGACTAGATCTCACCGTGGTTACTGAACGTATGGTAGGAGATTTATCCGGTGGGGAACTGCAAAGATTCGCTTGTGCAATGGTTTGTGTCCAAAAGGCTGATATATACATGTTTGATGAGCCCAGCTCATATCTGGATGTGAAACAACGTTTGAAAACTGCTATTGCTATCCGTGAGCTATTAGAGGTTTGTGATTCTATTTCTCCTCTTTTTTATTTTATTTTATTTCCTTTTAATCTCTCCTCTTTCTTAACTTTTAACAGGGTACAAACTATGTGATTGTTGTTGAACACGATCTATCTGTCTTGGATTACTTATCTGACTTTATATGCTGTCTTTATGGTGTCCCAGGTGCCTACGGTGTAGTCACTATGCCATTTTCCGTTCGTGAAGGCATTAATATATTTCTGGATGGTGTGGTGCCTACAGAAAATCTACGTTTCAGAGAAACACCGCTAGTCTTCAAAGTGAGTTTTTTATTCCCACAGATTGATTACTAATTATAGAAATTGTAATTTGATTTAAAATCCTTCTGTTCGCCTCTAAAATATATCGATAAATTTATAATCACAACCTTGATCTTACCGGCCTTGATTGATCTAGTTTAAAACGTTATGTTGTTACAGAAAATTAGCTTTCTTTTTCATCAATATGTAGGCGACCAGTGTTCTGTTTTTGATGAGAATACCCTTTTGTCTAATGGAGACTAATCTCCATACAGTGATATCCAGAGAAAATGCCAATGTTGAATGGTTAAGTGATCATAACACTAACTTTACCGACCGACTACTAGCTCTTGAATTTACATATAATTCGATCCATCTCGTCAAATACTGCATTTCTCCTGCAAAAGAAACCGTTTAACTGTTGTGCCTCTGGATAGTTTGAAACACTGACTTGTAGTCTAGAATTAGGGAGTGAAGTCGTTGAGCACGTCGACCACTTCACTTATTTGGGAAGTACCATCAGCCCCAACGGGTTGATCTCTGACGAAATTTTAGCACGGATACAGAGGACTAGTTTCGCATATACCAGTCTAGGCTGTCTCTGCCTTAATGGACGTGATATCCGGCTGGCTGTCGACCAAAGGCCGTGTATACTGCTCAGAAGTCCGCTCCATCCTCCTTTATGGTTGTGAGACATAGTCGTTGAGAGTGGAAAACATGGAAGGCCTGACTAGCTGTCTTTGATCATAGGTGTCTGAGTTCTATCTCCCGTGTAAAGTGGAATAATAGGGCGAGAAATATTAAGGTTAGGCATTGTTCGAGTGCTAGGTAAGGAGAGGAAATCAATCGACGAGGCTGTGAAATTACATCGACTAAGATGGTTAGGACACGTGGTACGTGTGCCTAGTCATCGCCTTCCTCGACGCGGAATGTTAGCTGATATAGGGTCAGGTTAGAAAAGAGCTAGTGGTGGTCCAACTAAAACAGGGCTTCATCAGTCAATGAAATCCACAACAGTTAGTTTAAGCCACGTAGGAAGGTGTAGACTTCCTGATTGGCTGGGGTCCTTGGGACGGTGAAAACCACTGGCTGGAAACAATTGGTGATATGGCTCAAAATCGTTCTCAATGGATTGGCGCAGATGCATCCACTCCTTGTGACTCATAATACTCAATGAAACTATATTGTTCTTCGATATTACTATTCTTTTTGCCTCATAGCTATCTTTACTGTCTGTATTATGCATTTCATCTACTTTCTTCTCCTACTTTGTGTGGTACATGGAGTGTGGCGACTTGAACTGCCGCACATCGGTGCAAAGTTCTATGTCGAAAACAGACAGATAGACAGACAAGATAGTTTGAAAGACAGATTTAGTTGTGTTCTGTGAGCTGGTTGTGATTTTGATTGCAGAACTTTCAATTGTCCTTCTAGATAGCGTATTCATCTCAGGCTTTAATATACAATGTGACCTTATTGAAATTCGTCGTGAACGAAGATATAATTGTATCTCCTGACAACCATTAATCATGATTGGTTGCTAAATTTACATCTCTATTGATCGTGTTTTTTTATCGACTTGGAATCTGAACTTTCTTGTCATGTGATTTATTTTTCTATTATTAGTTTTTAAATCTGATCTATCCATAGTAATGCGTGTTTATTAATTGCTGATTATTATCCATCTCTGAGTACTATACTAGGCTTCCAAAAATTCTCTGTATGCCATTACGTTGTTTTTTGGTGTCTCCTCTGTTTGAAATTTCAACATTCACCCAATAATCAAGTTGGTGTCCGAGATTGTGTACATGCATACGTATAAAAGAATACACATGGTGTCTTTTCACAGCTAATTTATGTTTTTGGATTCTAATTCACACAGGGTATACCCTTGTTTTGCAATTAATAGTGTTCTCTGAGCTGGTTGGGTTAGTTGTGGAGCTTTCGTCGTCCCCCTGCTGGACAACATCTTCAGCGCAAGTTTAGCATAAAGTAAAATGATTTAAACTTCTTCATGAGTGATATAATTGCGTCTCCTGGTAACCATCTTTACATATGTAATGACCATTTTCTATTGACTTCGATTTTAAACTTTCTGGTCACATGATTTACTTTTTATTAGTTGGTTGATTTGGTCTATATGTTAACGTGTTTGTTAATCGCACATTCGTTTGAGTACCAGGCTTCTAGGAATTCTCTGGCATTGCCTTTTGGTGTTTCCTCTATCTAAGATTTCGACATTATCCCAATCATCAAACTGATGTCAATAATTGTCTATATGCATTGATATGAAGGAATATATATCGTGTCTTTTCACGGCTGATTTGTGTTTCTGGATTCGGATTCGGAGGGGACGTCCACTTTGGCCAATGTAATGTCTGTTACAGTTCATACAATTTATTTTGTAAATGGTATTAATTTTATCTCCTTTTTCTGATGGATGTGTCTTTCGGTTTGCATAATATCGAATTAAGCGATTCGACTGGCTGGCTTGTGTGCTATATCTATATCAAACGGTTTCAATATTCTGGCTGTTATTTCAGAGATATTTTTCACATATATGGTAGGATGAATTTTCTTGTGTTCTTTGATGATAGTTCCTTGTTGGTGCTGATGTTGGATTTTAAACACTTTTTGATGAAATTGTGAGGGGGATATCCATTCTTTTTGAAGACCGTTTGCTGGTATTTTTCTTCCATTCTTTTCAACTCTGAAGAGCTACAGTATGTTTGAACTGTTTTAAACAATGTCTGCACACAATTTCTTTTGTGAGTAAGTAATTGGATTATTGCTAATATAGTTGAATATTTGATCTGTATGCGTTGATTTTTTATATATACTTGGTTTTCCAGATTTCTTGTGTTAGTTCTCCCGATTAATTCAGACATCTAAAAGTGGGATTTTGTCGTCTAATTGTTTTTCTCTTGTGAATTCAATGTCTTCAGATATGTTTTTGGTTAATCTGTGGGTGTATTTTTTGTATCATATCAACACAAAGAATTCAAAGAAGTTCACTTGATATTGAAGCATGCATTGAAGATGTCGCCTAGTTAAGGCCATGAAGGCTTCAGCTCAGAGCTACAAATCTTCTCTACTATTTGAAAGACAGTACCCGTTTATTTCGGGTCAAGCTTATTATTGTTTTTTTTAAAAATTCCCCTAGAGGAACATAGGGCTTGAGCCGAACGTCTGCATTGCGTTCGGTTCTCTGACAACGTTTTCACCTGGCTCAACGTCTGTCCATATGGTTTCATCTCTTCTTCACATGACCTCCTCCATGTCACACCACCCTCGCACTGACGACCAACTCGCCGTTTCCCATTTGGGTTCCACCCGAGTGATGGCTTGGCGTGAGATGTCACTTGATGGTTTGTTTTCTCAGAGAATGGCCAGCCAATCCACCTCCATTCCTTCATGCATATTTGTTGTACAATCGGTTCCTGGTTGGTCCGCTCCCAGGGATCCTTGTTCCTGATCTTTCCTGGCCGGCATCTGATCTTGAGTGGAGACAGCTGTTGATGAAGGTCTGCAGTTTGTTCGAAGTGCCCTTCGTGATGCGGCGCCAAGTCTCTGATCCGTATAGTAGTACTGACTTCACATTAGAGTTGAAAATCCGGCTGTCAATTTTCATGTTGAATGCTGTTGACCTCCACACAGACTTGAGAGTAATGCTGGCTCGCCTTGCTTACCCGATCTTCGCTGCTTTGATAACCTCGTCAGTTCCGTCCTCTAGTAGTTGAAACAATGCTTCCGAAGTAGGTAGGTGAAGGAGGTTGCTTCTTTCAGGTTCCTCCCACTTATTCTCATTGCTGTCTCTTGTTGTTGCTATTGGTGTTGTCCAGGAATCCCCATCACCTCTGTTTTCTCTATGTTCACCTGAAGTCCTATCTTCTCTAGATTCTTCTTCTTCCAACTTTTTGCTTTTCACTTGCATATCTTCCAGTTTGTGGAAAATCAGACATACATCATCCTCGGGGGTTTCCACATCCTCCAAGTTTTTTGTGTGAGTCCATTTTATACATGTTTCCTCATTGCCCGTTGTCTGTCGCATTATCCAGTCTACCGCATTCATCAAAATCATTGGAGATAGTAGGCAGCCAGTTTGCCTGACTCCCGTATTCACTTCGAGGGATTCCATGAGTTCCCCGTTGTGGATTACTTGGCATATAGCTTTGTCTTACAGCTGTTGGATGAGGTGTATAATTGTTGACGGCACCCCGTAGTAGCGAAGTAGTTTCCAAATCACCTCTAGATTGACGCTATCAAAGGCCTTTTCAAATCCAATGAAACTGAGGTAGAGAGAGAGAGGTGTCACTGCCATTCCAAACTCTGTTCAATGATGATGCATAGTGTTGTGATTTGATCGATGCATGCATGACCTGTTCCTTCCTTCTTGAGTAAGCTTGTGTTAGAGGAATACATATCCGAACTAAACTATTTCAAATTATAATTACCCAGTGAAATATAAATCTCTTCTCATTCATTGTATAATTCCAGTATTTACATTTATTTCTTTCAAATTAAAATTCTGATTCACACTTATTATTCAAGTGTTGGTTTGTAAGGATTTGATTGGTTAAACGATTTCATCATGATCTGACGTTGGTTAGAGAACCATTGGAAAACCAGCTAGAAGTACTGGACAGATGTTTCGTCCTAGTTTGTGACTCTCCAGCAGTACGTGCCCACCAGGGTTCGAACCCAAGACCTTCTGGCTGGCCGAGGCACACCTGATATCAAAAGTAGACTTGCTAAATTTGCGCTACTAGGGGTCACGCTATGTCGTCAATTGGCAGAAGTTAGGATTCATGGGCTAGCCATTGGATCGGGTCCCAGTGGCTTAATGGTCTACGAGCTTGCTAGCCTTGTAACCACAAGGTCTTGGGTTCGAACCCCGGTGGGTGCGTACTGATGAAGAGTCCCAAAGTAGAACGAAACAACTGTTCAGTACTCCCAGCTGGTTTTCCAATGGTTCTGTAACCAATGTCAGCTCATGATGAAATCCAGTAATCACACTTATT